CTCAGTGAACACAGGAGCTAGCTGGTATGCGCAGTCTCTTAGGATACGACCTGGATGCCATCTGGTCCTGCTGCTTTCCTGGTGTTCACTCTTTGAGGCTCTCCTTACTTCATGCTCGGAGATGACGAGCACATTTCCGGTGCTGCAGTATCTTCCTGTCTGCAGCCGTTAGCGCCGCTAACACTAGCATTGTTGGAGACCTTAGCTGCAGCCTCGAAGCGAGCATAGAAAGTGTTCAGCTCGTCTGCCAGAGTCACGGCCGCGTTCGTCATACCGGTTGTTGGTGCTTTATAGTCCGTTATTGTCCTTAGTCCCCGCCACAGGCTCCTAGAGTCACTCTGTTGGAGTTGTGACTCTAGTTTCCTCCCGTAGCGCTGCTTCGCCTCTTTCACCGCCCTCCGCACGTTATATGACGCGGCTTTGTACGGGTCCATGTCCCCCGTCGTGAGTCCCGTGTTGTAGGCAGCGGTGCGGGATCTCAGAGCGTCGCGGATGGTTTTATCCACCCACGGCTTCTGGTTGGGAAACGTTGTGATAGTCTTTGTCTCCACGGTATCATCCGCTAGTTTCCCGATGAATCCCACAACCGCTTCCGTAAACACGTTGACATCATCATCGGAGCTGTTTCTGAACATGCCCCAGTCTGCGTCATCGAGTGCGTCCTGGAACGCGGCCACCGATTGATCAGTCCAGCGCGCGACCTTCCTCTGAACCGGAACTTCCTGTTCAGCCTTGTTTGTATTTGGCATGAGGAAGATGGCGGCGTGATCAGATTTGCCAAACGGGGGCGGGGTTGTGCCTTGTAGCCGTCCTTGACCGTAGTGTAGCAATGGTCCAGTGTCCTTTCACCCCTGGTGGGGCAGGTGATGTGTTGATAAAAGTTCGGCGCTGCGCGTTTGAGGTTGGCGCTATTAAAGTCCCCCGTCACAATAAGCGCAGCGTCCCGGTGTTGTGTCTGGTGCTGTGTGAGTGCCTCATGCAGCTCGCATAAGGCGGTGACCGTGTCCGCTTGTGGTGGAATATAAACGGCACTTATAATGACCGATGTAAATTCCCGAGGTAGATAAAAAGGACGACACATGATGGACAGTAGTTCCAGATTTGGTGTGCAGGAGCGTGTGAGAGGAACAACGTTCGCACTGTTGCACCAGTTGTTGTTCACCATTAAACACACGCCGCCTCCCCTTGACTTCCCCGAGTCCCGTTCCTGTCCATGCGGTGAACCGAGAAGAACTCGGCCGGCTGGATGGCGTGGTCCGGCACCGCTGGGTTCAGCCATGTCTCGGTGAAGCAGAGGAGATTGCAGTCCCGAATGTCTCTCTGGAACTCTACCCTGGCCCTGAGGTCGTCAAGCTTGTTCTCCAGTGACTAGACTTGGCGAGCAGGATGCTAGGCAGAGGTGTGCGGTGTGCACGAGCTCTCAGCCTGTTCCTGACGCCGGCTCGCTTCCCTCTAGGCCGCCGCCGCCGCTTCCCTTTGTTCTCCCTCAAGATCTCACTCGGCCAGCTCGGATCCGGAGTTAAAACTTCGAATTGTGAGTACATTGTAAACCAATAGAAACAAGAGTGTCACTGTCATACCTAATGTACCCAATGGTGATGATTTGCCGATTTAGAAACGCTGAAAACTAACTTAAAAACAAAGACAAAGAAAAAGTGGTCGGAGCAGTCGTGACGGCAGCCGACCTCACCGGCGCCATCTTGTTTTTTCTTTTTGTGGTTATAGTTTTGTTCATATTCAATTCCTTTAGTTTCTGTTTATTGTGCCTCCCTTGTATTTCTGTGTCTTCATCTTCAGTCTCCATTATATTACTTACTGTTTTATTTGGTAGGCTCCTTGTGTCTTGCATTAGTTTTATTTCCTTTGTCTCTCTAATGATCCTCAATGATTTATAGCCTCAGACTTCGTTGCATCGTCCTCTTGTTTTTACCTGTGTTTGCCATCATGTACAGATTTATGCTGTCATGGACTTATTGAACTTCACCCTCAACCAGTTACTGTGACAGATTCTCAGATTTTATCTGATTTAGTGCTCAGCTCAGATAAAATAATTATTGTGGGTTATTTTAACATCCATGTAGATTCTAAAATGACAGCCTCAGCATTACGCTTAATATAATATTAAACTAAAACAAGGCAAAATGTGAAAGAGCCCACCCACCACTTAATCACACTCCAGTTGTGACATGTGGCATAAAACGGAACATTTAAGTGTTTCCTGAAAACCACCTATAATATTTAAATTACAGTTATGGATTACACAGGAGTAGAGATAGATTCTCCTATACTGGCTTCTCTTTATTGGCTCCCTGTTAAATCCACAATTTCAAATCCTTCTCCTCACAAGGTCTTGAATAATCAGGCCCCATCTTATCTTAATGACCTGATAGTACCGTAGCACCCAATTAGAGCACTTTGCTCTCAGTCTGCAGGTTTAATTGTAGTTCTTAGAGTATTTAAAAGTAGAATTGGAGACAGAGCCTTCAACTTTCAGGCCCCTCTTCTGTGGAAATAGCTTCCAGTTTGGATTTGGGAGACAGACACTATCTCTACTTTTAAGATTAGGCTTCAAACTTTCGTTTTTGCTAAAGCATACAGTTAGGCTGGATCAGGTGACCCTCAATCCTCCCTTAGTTATGGTGCAATAGGTGTAAGCTGCCAGGGGATTCCCATGATGCAGTGTTTCTTCTTCACTCACTTCTCTGCATTTAATCATTAGTTATTGTTCATCTCTGGCTCTCTTCCACAGCATGTCTTTGTCCTGTCTTCTTTCTCTTACCGGTGTCTCAGATGGCCGCCCCTAGCTGAGCCTGGATCTGCTGGACATTTCTTCCTGTTAAATGGGAGTTGTCACCAAAGTGCATGCTCATGGGGGTTATGTGATTGTTGGGGTTCCTCTGTATTATATCAGTAATAAATACAACTGAAGTTCCTGTATTTACTTTTCATGTAAATCTCACAGTATGTCGCATGAAACTGACCATAGATCACTTTTATATAAATGTAATTGTTTTTCACTACATAAGTACACTATGATCAGCTCTCTGTTTATTGAGGTCATTTTTTATTCACACAGATTAGTTTTGTAGCACTCACGTTGTATGTTTGAAAGCACAGCCTTCTGAATGGTTTAATATTGTATCGTGTGTTCTCAGATTTGTGACTGAGAAGCAGACTGTGATGGGTATGTGTTATTATCTGACACGTACCCATCTGAGTGGGTGAGTGAAAATATCAGTTTGTGCTGAAGAGGAGGTGGCAGCAGATACACCTGTCAAGCAAATGTAGGAGTGAAGTAAAAAGTACATTTCTTTGTGGTAAAAGAAGTTTGGTGCAGAATAATTAACAGAAACCACCAAGCAGACACTGTGGTCACACCCACATGGGCCCCACAGTGTCCAGCTCACTTAAACTGGTATGTTTCTGGTGTAGGTGCCATAGTCATGTGACTTATGAAATGCCCCTTGTAGATTAGTCAGATGGTGCCAACACCGCCCTTTCACGTGCACATGCAGGGAAACCGGATTATAACCAGCTGCTCCTAGTCTGCCCGCTGTGCGTACGACCGACCGGGTAAAACATTACATTTCACATTAAGTGTGTAACGAGCTGTGGCCTGCAGGGGGCAATGGTCCGTCAGTGACCTCTGAATCCTGCAGTGTTCTGTTCAGTCCCACTATGAGTTCCTTCCTGGCTGTGTCAGTGAAGCCGGTTCACACCTGGTTGTTTTACCTGAACAGCAAACCCAGCCTAGTGTTTCTGGGACAATCACAGAAAAACTCAAGGAAATTAATCCATTCATCACAGATTCTCATATTTTTACATTTCTGCCTATTGCGTGTTTGTGCGTTTAGTGACATCACTACATCAAAGTATCCACATTCAGTGTATTTAGTCATGAGGACGACTCTCTGACAGGCAGATGGAGGCCATGAAACGACAGCATTCCCATTCAGCTCGGCTTTATTTGCAGTTTTTCATTTATATCTGTTAATTTAAACATATCTGCTGTAAAATATTTTTTATACAGGAATCATTTCAAAAATGAGAGACTGCAGAGAAAATGAAAAGCATCGTTGTGTTGTTTCCAACTCTGCTAGGCGAACTTTAAGTTTTGGGTGAAGCAGTCCTTCAGTTCACAGAGAGAAGCCTGAAACGGGACTCGTCTGCACCGGCAGTGTCGGAGACCCAGCTGGCCACAGAGGTCCCAGTCCACCGAGGGGTAAAGACATCAGCCAAGGTTCCACTTCCCTCTCAGCTGATCTGCAGCAGGTCGTAACTTCCTGCGTTCTCCACCTCGTGTTTGTCGTCCACCTGCAAACACAGTGTAATCACCTGACTGCTCATTAAAGCGAATAAAATCCTCCTCTCAGTCGTCAGAGTGAGAGCCTGAAAGGTTGAATGAAACAGAGTGTGCTGTAAACCGAGAGCAGACTGCAGTCTGGTCGTTGGTCACAGCTTTCATTCTGAGCTGCACAAACGTCCGCCGATGACTCACCGTGACCGCCGACGCACTGGACTCGCCAGCCGCTGGCGCCGCTTCATACACCGGGTTACAGATGTTGCGGCTGCTGTTTGTGGGCGGAGCTTCTTCCTCCCCGTCATCCTCCTGTCAGAGCAACCACAGGAGTAACTCGTGAAGATCGATAGTGAAGCTGCGTCAAATAAAAATGTCATGATGCGGTGCGTCACACTGACAGCACTCCCCTAGCCTCAGTGCAAAGTTCCAGTCTGACCTTGAAGTAGTGGAACTGGAAGGGTTTGGTGTTGTTATGGTAGAAGCGGTATCCCACAAAGATGGCTCCGCCCACCAACGCGATCAGCAGCACCACGCCGATGCCCATCCCAGCTTTGTGCGCCACATGCATCTGCAGAGCCAATCAGAGAATTCAGGGGGTCAGATAAGGAGTGTGCATTCTGATTATGGAGGCAGGTCGGACTCACCTGTGGGTGAGGGGCCGGGGCCTTTAGGGGTCCCTGAATGACGTGGATGATCCCGTTGCCAGCCATAATGTCAGAGTCGCTGACGAAGTGGTCGTTGATGTAACGAAACGACTGAGAGAACGAAACCAGATTAGAACTTCATACAAACAACTGAAACAACACACAAACACACACTCAGAGACACACACACACTCAGACACATACACACAGAGACAGGACAGTTCTGTTTGCTCTCTCAGACACCTAAATGAGTTGGAAAGGCGGCGCTTTAGCAAAGGTAGCCATAAACATGAGGGGGACACTCTGAGCACGTTTAGGTCAGATCACTGTGCTGCAGAAGACTTTTGGTCTCCTCTGATTCAGATTGACGCAGTGAGCAGGAGGAGAGAGGCGTGTTAGTGTAGCGGTGCATGACAATTGCATGAGCTTGTTCTGACCAGAGCCGACGGGTCAAGCTGGTCGGCGACTCCGAGGACGGTCAGACTGCCGACTCGAGTTCTGATCCGGCTGCCGTTCTTCAGCTGGCTCAGAGGGAAGCCTGACCCTCCGACAGGTGGAACTCGATGTCACGCAGAGACAGAGTCTGGAGGAACGCACAGGTGAGCACACCGATGTAACTGTATGTGTGACAAAATTAAAGGGCCCTGGTGAATGGCTCACCTGGTTGCTGGGCAGGCCGCGGTTGTCAGGTACGAACAGAGTGGACTGGACAGTCAGGTTACTGAGACGCTGCACGAGCTGCTTCCCCGACTCGGAAGCCTGGGAGCAGTTCAGGATTTGCTGCAGAAGGAGGGATAGGATTGTACACGTGCAGGCAATGATCAGTGGCATCTGAGCGATCTGACGTCACTTACGGTGAGGAAGTTTGAGAAGCTCGGGTGGATCTCAGGACCTGCAGCAGATTTCCAGTACAGCTGAAACCGTCCCCAGTGTAACCTCGTTTGCACTCGCACTTCACCTCTGAAACAAAGATATACGGGCCGATCATCTGCACGTAACCATGGCACTGAGCACGCTTCAACTAAACAAACCTAGTCTGTGCAGACTTCCAGCTACTGTGAAGGAACAAATGTGCCTTTTCCCTCACAGCCAAATTTTACTAATATTTTACAAGTTTAAATAAAGTGCACCTCACCTGCTCATATCTTAATAAACACACTGTCTGCATTATAGAAATCTGACAAACAGATTTACTTTCACTCGTGTTCACATGAACCAGACGTGTCATCATCTTCCTCCCTCACCTTGCATCCGTAACAGAAGGTGTCCCAGGTCTCGCTCAGGTTTTTGCGGGTGCCGTAGTCCACGATGCCACTGTCCGAAGCCACACTTTGGGTTGGAGTAGGTGGTGGGGTACGCCACCCGGGCCTGGTCCAACCAGCCAGCAGCACACATGTTCAGCCCGCCCTGCAGAGCCACACACAGCCGACATGTTTCAGCAGGAGTGCCAGGGCTGACGTCAATTGTCCGGGAGCTACTGTGATGTGTTCACTGACCTGCTGAGCGTAGGCCAGTTGAGTGTACGTGGCCAGGCGGCCTCCTCTGCAGCGCAGGCCTGCTCAGCTGCCGTGTAGTTCAGTTTGTACTGACCTTTCTTGGAACGATAGTGGAACACACCGAGCATCGAATCTGCACAACACATAAATATCAGAATGTACGACAAATAGTGAGGGAGAAGTTCAGCATGTCAAGGTTATCAGTGAAGGGAACACTCAGCTCCACCTACAGGGAAGAAAAAGGAACACAGATTAATGAATTCATCCATGTCTTCTTTTTAGAAGACATGGATGAAGGTACAAAAAGTTATGATTCAAGTATAATTAGAGATATTCTGAGAGTTATTCATTCATTGATGATTCATTTAAAACAACAGTCATTTCTTAAACACTCCATGTATGTTTTAGTAATACCAGCTACTCTGTGCAGCAACACCCCTGGTGTGTAGCTGCTGCTGACACAAATGAGGCTCAGAGAAATTTGAATTGAAAGATTTGACGATCAGCAGGAAATATTAATCTTTGTAAACACATCACAACAGACACAAACTTCTGCTCCACTTCAAAAAAAGTCAGGGTTCGAGCTCCGAGGGTTAAATCGGCTGCTGTAAGCAAACGTCATGACCTCGCTCACAATAACAATATGCATTCACCTGCAAGAAACACTCCTGCTCAATACTCATCATCCAATGAGCTTCCACTTGAATGACGTTCACGTGTACCTTCAAAGTGGAGGTCGGTGCATTTGGCGTCGCGATGACACTGGCCGTTGTTTTGCAGACAGCGGCTGATAGGCAGCTGTCTGACCTCACAGGTCACTCCGTCTCCGATGTAGTTGTTCTTACACATGCACTTCCTCTCCCCTGTGCACACACACACACACACACACACACACCACACACACACACACACACACACACACACAGTTTACAGGTAAGTAGGACCTGATGGTGTAACCTTAGAAAACAAGTCCCATGTCGTCCTTACCGGAGCCGTCATGGTGCATACAGCGTGTTCATGGCAGCCTCCATTGTCTCCTAATGCACAGGGGTCGATGGGCTGACAGGTGAACCCGTCTCCAGTGTGATCTTTGGACAGGTGCAGCTCACCTTACCTCCATTCTGTGAGCACTTGGCCCCTTAGCACAGCCTCCATTCCAGATCTGACAGATGTCCACCACTGCAGGGAAAATGTACACACTCAGCTACCGTCATTTAACCTCCAAGGACCTGGCATCCACATATGGGGACATCACATTTTGGGTTGTCTAGATCACAAAACTAAATTTTGCTCTTTCAAATGGCTTTTAAATGACCCATATTGCTCAAAGGAGCACAATTGTTGTTTCTCATTTTCTTTTTGTACTCGGAAAAATTCTGCTATATTCAGACATCAAATAAAGAGTTTTGCACATCATTACTCAACTGTGTATAGCAAATAGCACAGAGAAATTAAAAATGCATGCCATGAAGAGTTCGGGTTAAATGAGATTGAAAGAGGTTAAAAGAGAGATGGCACCTCATGCTGGTCCACTGTTACCTGTGCAAGTGAATCCGTCACCCTCATGAAAAGGCCGGCACTCACAGGTGTTGTTTGCCTTACAGACGGCTTTTGGAGAGCAGGCTGGAGAACATTGAAAGATCTCAGCTGGAGGAGACACAGAAACATGAGTGTGATTAAAGTGCACAAACATCTACTTTCATACCTGAGTATTTTATTCTTGGGTTTGGTCTGAACTGCGCTGAGAGCTGGCGAGTGTCTTTAGGACTGATCGTTTTATCTAATTCAGTCTAAGCCAACGAAGGAAATGAACTCACTCTGCTGAACGTCACAGCGGTCTCCGGTCCATCCGGCCTCACAGAACACAAACCCGTACCTTTCCACCGTCGTCACATGACCCATGCTCTGAGCAGTTACAGGCTGAAAAACAAGCAAGTCAGGTAGTAAGAGTGTTACAATCTGACGCCGCAGAGAAACCCGTCTATTACTACCTTTACAGGTGGGTCCATAGAATCCATCACTGCACAGCTCACAGGACGTGCCTCTGAAACCTGTGTCGCAGGTACAGGTACCGTTACCAAGCGACCGTCATCACATTTCCCACGGTTATTGCAGGGAGATCTGAACCCCCCAGGACACCCTGCACAGAGAGCAGAGAAGGCAGTCCATCAGTAGCTGAATCAATCAAATCAATCAGTGACGTAACCTGCTCATTTATATGATGTCACTGAGATCATTTGCATTTTGAAATGCTCACTGAATACTGGTGAGAAGGGATGCACCGATACCGATATCTGGTATTGCCTCGATACCACATTTCTAAAGTACCAGTACTCGTTAAAAGTCCCCGATACCGGGGACCGATACCACGGTCTGAGACCTGTCTATGTTTGAGCGGCATGTAAGGGGTTAATCACAGGCGCCGAGTGCCCGCCCCAGGCCCCGGCTGCAGCTCAGAGCTGGGAGGAGGCGAGGCGAGACAAGTCAGCCGTGTGGAACTATTTCAAAGTGAACAAAGACGCGAAAACAAAGGCAAATTGTGCTCAGCGAAAGAGTTTACCCACGCTTATTTACCCACGCTTATTAGCACAGAGGAGCAAAGCTGATGCTATAGCAGTGGGACGGAAATAGTTGGGCATTTTAACATTCCGCCTTAACCTACTCCCGCCTCGATGACATTCAGGGACAGCTCACCAGCCAATAAAGAGACTGCAGCAGGACGTACAGACGCGCTGGAACAGCACGTATTACATGCTCCAGTCCTCATTGAGCAAAAGCGAGTGCTGGGGGTGTATGTGTCCGAGCACGAACTCCCTGATATCTCACCGCTCACCAATGGGCTCTTATGGAGAAGACTGTTGCCATCCTCGCCCCTTTGAGGAACTAACTAAAAAAGTGAGCAGCTACGACGCACTAGCCTTGATGTCATCCCAGCTGTGACTGTGCTAGTGAGACTTCTAAACAGAGAAACAGACTAGGACCACAGAGTCAAGGCAATGAAAGCAACCTTACTGGCAGCTGTCAAGAGCGCTTCAGTGACGTCGAGACCAACCCACTGTATTCATCTCCACCATACTTGACCCAAGGTAAGTCTGTGTGCTATAGGTATTCAATGAGTATAGCTACAGTACTAAATGTAGATTATTTTACATCTGAAATATTATATATTTGTAACTAAATACACAAATACAAATGTATGCAATATATATAATATGAAATACATTTCCCTTATTATTACCAGAAAGTCAAATGGCTGGCATTTGTCACAGTGGTTTAGGGGAAACTAAAATCACTCCTATTTTTCCACATATTAATACATTTATGAATTTTGTGCAGGTATAAAGATCGCTTCTTCGCCAACAACACTGCTCCAGAGGCCAAGCTGCACCTGAAGCAGGAGCTGCAGATGATGTCCAGAGCTGAGGCAGAGGGGAGTCGGGCAGAAGCTGCAGAACCTCCTGCTAAACTGTTCCTCAAGGCCCAGGCCAGCACTAGCAGCAGTCTGGACACTGTTTTTGACGAAATCGCTAAGGAGCAGCCCCAGGCAACAGCCGCTGGCAGCAGGTGCTGCCATTGAGCTCGCACATACCTCGGAGAGGCCCCAAGCCCTCGTGAAGACAGTCCTCTGAAGTACTGGGGTGTCAACAAAATCAGGTTCCCCACTTTGGCTAAAATAGCCCGTAAATACCTCTCAGCCCATATAGCAGTGTGGAAAGTGAAAGGCTTTTTAGCTCAGTGTCACACATTATAGATGAAAACAGAACAGTCTGACTGCTGATAATGCAGAAAAGCTACTTTTCTTTAAAAAACCCTGCCACTCACTTTTTCTCTCCACTAAGTGAGTCATCTTAGACTTGATGTTAATACCTACCTCAGTTGCACTGACTGCCACAGTTTATGTTGGTGGATGTTGTTAGTTTATTCAAATATTGTGCACTAAATAGCAAAGATGTTTATTAATGCCCTTGTGTTGTCCAAAGTGGCAGAGTTTACAATAAACTGAAAAAAATACTTGAGTTGCACTGTCACTGTTTAAATTTTTTTTTTCATAATTATTTATTCTGTAATATGTTGCATACAACATGCTTTCATTTTAAATAAATTCCAAACTGGCCAACTGGTGGCAAAGTTCTTAATTCCAAACCATGCCTTGTTTGTTTTTTGTTAAATTATAGGACTAAAGCTGTTACCTGTAAATTTAATCATGTTTTTATTAAGTACTCGGTATCGGTATCGGCGAGTACTGAAATGCAAGTACTCGTACTCGTTTCCAAAAAGTGGTTTCGGTGCATCCCTACTGGTGACCTATCCAGGTGTACCCTACCTCTCACTGGGACAGACCCTCAAATCATTATCAGTGATAACCTCAGCACCAACCCTAACTCTAACCGCAGCCAATCAGGATATTTATTCTTTGGTTTTAATTAACGATATAAAAGCTGAATATTCTGTCACACAACAAAAACTGTTCAATTTCACCTAAAAAGTTTCAAAAAATTTAAGAAAGACTGAAGAAATGGTTTTAATATGAGGATGACGTTGTTATCTCACCCAGACAGTCTCGTCCGTAGTAACCACGACAAACTTTGGCTCCACATGTTAAAGGTGCAGATGGGGCGACAGCCGGTGTTCTTAGCAAAGGAAAAGGTGGGCAGATCACACTTCTGAACCTCCTGAACACAAAAAACAGAGACGTTTCCTTCGAGGCTCAGCCTGACAGAGGCAGTGAGTTTGTTAAAGATGGGACTCAGACCTTACGAATGCCTCCCGCAGGACAGCGAGTGGAAGAAAAGCTGCATCCTCCACAGCTTGTCTACCACAGAAGAAGAAAAGAAAAGATCAAATGAACCATCAGCTCACCTGCAAAAATCTTTTTATTTCTGCTGCTGTGGAAATGTTTGACTGATTTTAGGACCATCTAGCTTTTTAAACCCACACTAGTGTGGAGTTGTGGCACACTCCACTGCCAGGTCTCGGTGCTCTAAATCATTTTCAGACTGTTCACCGCTACAGGAAAATAACCAGAAACTAAACATGAACACAGCAGGCCTCTAAGACTGTAGATTAGGCCAGGCTCTCACTGTTACTTTCACTGTGTGAGTACACTTCAAGCCTACGAGTTACACACAACCCGTGCTCCAACACCATCAGCATTAACAGTTTACACAGTCAGAATCAGTATGTCTGGTTGTTCCAGGTAGCATTCAGATGCATCTCAGACAGTAAAGTGAGGATTCACCGGAAGGTCAAAGGTTCTTTGTTCATCACAGCGTCCTCCGAGGCTGGGAGGAGTTAGCAAGCAGTCGATCCCGTAGGCAATGCCCGCTTTAAAGATGAGGTGTCTCTGAACAATCCGACACTTCCTGTTGTTGATGAAGATTTCTCCCTGTTCAAAAAGACAGTTGGTTATTTGGAGTCCATGTTTGTCTTGTTTGTCTTCTCTGTAGATTTCTCTTACTGTAGTACTCACAATGTTGTCTGTCCCACCACAGGAGAAGGAGAGCGGCGAACCCTGCAAACTCCGAGCCGAGTCCAGGAAGATCAGTCCTTCAGCGTAAACCTGAGATTAAAGGCATTTTAAACTAAACCTGAGAAACCACCTGACCTGCTTCAGCGTTTTTACCTCCACAGCACCATGTTTGTTCTGCGATAACCTCCCTGAGGCACCTCACATTTTATCCCAGTTATCAAATCTTTCAGAGCTGTTCTTCCAGCTGCCATGCTGTAAAGTGTCTAACGCTTCTCTAAAAGTACCCTCTAAAGAAGTTTTACCTTCTGGCTGTGCAGGATGTGGTATTTCAGGTACTCCATCAGCTGGGGTCGATTGTGTTGGTGGAACAGGAAGTCCTTCTGTTCCTGCGGCAGAGATGCCATGACACCGTCTGACGGCAGGAAGATTGTCACCGGCTGGTACATGATATCATTCACCAGGTCCATTACACCTGTGTCCTGAAAAACATGAGATTTCATGCGAATAAAACTGGCTAACAGGACACCAGCCCTTCTGCTAGTTCACTCCACAGTCCACTCCATCCATCTATGTGTGAGTATATTGGTGGCTTAAGATGCGGATCCACAGGGTGTTGGTGTGGCTCGTGCTCACCTGGGATTTTTTTTTATCCATCATTCATCACCCGGCGACAGCTCTTCTCCAGTACTCTGCTACAGATCTTTTGCGGCTTCGTTTTTGCCTGGCTGTCTCTCCACCTGTGGCTCTATACTTCTACCCGGACATCGCCTTCCAGCCCGCCGCAGGTATATCCACCGAGGGCTTCCGTGGAAGTTCAACATCAGTGACACTAACTCAATATTTTCCATCTGGTCAAAAACTCGTCGTCCTCCCTGCAAGACTGACCGGGCTGTTGACCACAGTGTGCTGGCCCACCTGGCTAAATCAACTAAGCCTACTGTCAGGCATGGCAACTCCAGCATCAAGTTTGGTCTATTAAACATCCGCTCTGTCACTGGTAAGGGACATCTCGTACATGATCTCCTCTGTGATCGTAAGTTGGACTTTCTTTGTTTGACTGAAACATGGCAACAGCCCAATGACTTTGTTTCTCTCAATGACTCCACTCCATCTGAGTTTGTTTACACCTGTCAACCTCGCATCTCGGGGAGGGGCGGAGATCTCGCAATAATTCACCGGAAGCACTGGAAAGTACTCCCTGTCTCTGCCTTAACTCCCATTCATTTGAATACATTGCACTACAGCTCCCTGGATCTACCCCACCATCATATGTACTGTTTATCGGCCACCTAAGCCAAACAAGGAGTTTTTAAATGAATTTTCTGCTCTTCTCACTCATTTCTCTGTACTTTTTCCAAATCTGATCATTGCTGGTGACTTCAATATTCATATGGACAATGATAAAATGATAATCTTTCCAGAGATTTTACCTCCTGCCTGGAAGGTTTTGGGCTTCTACAGTACATAAAATTTCCTACCCACTCTAAAGGTCATATCCTGGATTTGGTCTGTTGTTCTGGCATTACCCCCACCCATTGTAAAGCCACATTGTTTCCCCAGTCTGATCATATGTTTATTTCTTTTGATGCAAACATAACCGCTTCCAAAAACTGTATCTCTCGTAATATCACTTTTAGGAAAATTAGTAATATTAACCCAGCTGTTTTTTCATCTGCCGCTCATGACCTTCCATCTATCCACTGCTCCTCAACCCCTCATGAACTCGTTTGTCATTATAATGTCAACCTTTATAACCTTCTTAACATATTTGCTCCCCTTAAACATCGAACAGTCTCATTTTCCCGTTCAGCTCCATGGTTTACCTCCGACCTGTGTCACCTTAAAGCTAAAGGATGCCAACTCGAACGTCTATTCAAGAAAACCAGACTTGCTGTACATAAAGAAATGCACAATGATCATATTTTGTTCTATAAGGACTGCATTGCCTCAGCCAAATCTGCTTACTACTCTGGTTTAATTAGTTCTAATGAAGGTAACTCCAGGTCCTCTATTCATTGTTCAGTAAAATTACAAAACCTCCAGACACATTCCCCTCTCAGATGTATTCTGTTGATTTTAGCAACTCTCTTATCTCTTTTTTCACTTGTAAAATCTCAGACATTCACCATCAAGTTAAGTCTTTAGGAGCTCCTGACTCTGAAGTAGACTTCCTGGTTCCCCCACTGTCTTCCTGTCTGTTATTTTCAAGCTTTACTCTTCCCTCCATAACTGACGTATCTAATCTCATTAAAAAATCTAAGTCATCCGCCTGTCAACTTGACCCTCTCCCTACTGTGTTACAGGGAGTGCAGAATTATTAGGCAAGTTGTATTTTTGAGGAATAATTTTAATATTGAACAACAACCATGTTCTCAATGAACCCAAAAAACTCATTAATATCAAAGCTGAATGTTTTTGGAAGTAGTTTTTAGTTTGTTTGTAGTTTTAGCTATTTTAGGGGGATATCTGTGTGTGCAGGTGACTATTACTGTGCATAATTATTAGGCAATTTAACAAAAAATAAATATATACCCATTTCAATCATTTATTTTTACCAGTGAAACCAATATAACATCTCCACATTCACAAATATACATTTCTGACATTCAAAACAAAACAAAAACCAATCAGCGACCAATATAGCCACCTTTACTGATTTTATCTACTGTTCTGATTTTATCTGTTTTGATTTTATATACTGTTTTGTTTGTTTGTTTGTTTGTTAATTAGTTAGTTAGTTTATTTGCTTGTTTTAATCAATTTTAAATCATGCTTTTTATTTGTTCTTGTTTCTAATGTCTCTGTAAAGCACTTTGAATCACCTTGTTGTTGAATTGTGCTATACAAATAAACTTGCCTTGCCTTGCCTTGCCTTTCTTTGCAAGGACACTCAAAAGCCTGCCATCCATGGATTCTGTCAGTGTTTTGATCTGTTCACCATCAACATTGCGTGCAGCAGCAACCACAGCCTCCCAGACACTGTTCAGAGAGGTGTACTGTTTTCCCTCCTTGTAAATCTCACATTTGATGATGGACCACAGGTTCTCAATGGGGTTCAGATCAGGTGAACAAGGTGGCCATGTCATTAGTTTTTCTTCTTTTATACCCTTTCTTGCCAGCCACGCTGTGGAGTACTTGGACGCGTGTGATGGAGCATTGTCCTGCATGAAAATCATGTTTTTCTTGAAGGATGCAGACTTCTTCCTGTACCACTGCTTGAAGAAGGTGTCTTCCAGAAACTGGCAGTAGGACTGGGAGTTGAGCTTGACTCCATCCTCAACCCGAAAAGGCCCCACAAGCTCATCTTTGATGATACCAGCCCAAACCAGTACTCCACCTCCACCTTGCTGGCATCTGAGTCGGACTGGAGCTCTCTGTCCTTTACCAATCCAGCCACGGGCCCATCCATCTGGCCCATCAAGACTCACTCTCATTTCATCAGTCCATAAAACCTTAGAAAAACCAGTCTTGAGATATTTCTTGGCCCAGTCTTGACGTTTCAGCTTGTGTGTCTTGTTCAGTGGTGGTCGTCTTTCAGCCTTTCTTACCTTGGCCATGTCTCTGAGTATTGCACACCTTGTGCTTTTGGTCACTCCAGTGATGTTGCAGCTCTGAAATATGGCCAAACTGGTGGCAAGTGGCACCTTGGCAGCTGCACGCTTGACTTTTCTCAGTTCATGGCAGTTATTTTGCGCCTTGGTTTTTCCACACGCTTCTTGTGACCCTGTTGCCTATTTTGAATGAAACGCTTGATTGTTCGATGATCATGCTTCAGAAGCTTTGCAATTTTGAGACTGCTGCATCCCTCTGCAAGATATCTCACTATTTTTGACTTTTCTGAGCCTGTCAAGTCCTTCTTTTGACCCATTTTGCCAAAGGAAAGGACGTTGCCTAATAATTATGCACACCTGATATAGGGTGTTGATGTCATTAGACCACACCCTTCTCATTACAGAGATGCACTAATATGCTTGATTGGTAGTAGGCTTTCGAGCCTATACAGCTTGGAGTAAGACAACATGCATGAAGAGGATGATGTGGACAAAATACTCATTTGCCTAATAATTCTGCACTCCCTGTAGTTAAAGCCTGTCTTCCCTCGTTCGCACCTCTCATAACCAATATTATTCATTCCTCCCTGAACACTGGAATTGTTCCTGAAGCACTGAAAAAGGCTTCTGTTATCCCAATTCTCAAAAAGCCTGGTGCAGACCCCAATAACTTTGATAATCTTCGCCCTATATCAAATCTCCTCTTTATTTCAAAAATTCTTGAAAAAGTTGTCGCCGCCCAGCTTCATTTACATCTCAGTGACCATAATCTCCATGAACAATTTCAATCGGATTTCTGCCTCAATCATAGCACAGAAACTGCTCTGTTAAGAATTACCAATGACCTTCTGATGGCAGCTGATTCTGGTCTCCTATCCATCCTCATCCTTCTTGATCTTAGTGCGGCGTTTGATACCATTTCTCACAATATTCTCCTGAACCGGTTAGCTTCCATTGGTATTAGTCACACCCCCTTGCCTGGTTCACCTCCTATCTCTCAGACCGCACTCAGTTTATCCAATTTAAATCCCATTCTTCAACTCTCTATCCTGTTTCTGCTGGTGTGCCCCAGGGTTCAGTATTAGGGCCTCTTTATTCATTATTTATATGCTTCCTCTTGGTTATATATTCCGAAAATATAATATAAATTTTCACTGTTATGCTGATGACACCCAGCTCTACCTTTCTTCTAAACCCAATTCATCTCTCCCACCTACCTATCTCTCAGACTGTCTTATTGAGATTAGATCCTGGTTCTCCTCCAATTTCCTCAAACTAAACAGTAATAAAACTGAAGTTTTACTTGTTGGTACACCATCTATCTTAACCAAATTCCACAGTTTTTCCATTAACATTGAAGATTCTCCTACCCTTCCCTCCCCTCAGGTTAAGAGTTTGGGTGTCATACTTGATAATACTCTTTCATTCCAGTCTCACATTAATTACATAACCCGGTCTGCTTACTTCCATTTACGTAATATTAACCGACTCTGTCCCTTCCTTACTCCTCATGCTGCTGCCATCCTTGTCCATAGTCTTATTACATCCCGTATTGATTACTGTAATTCCCTCCTATTTGGTCTCCCTAAAAGGTCCCTTCATAAACTCCAGCTCCTTCAAATTTCTGCAGCTCGGGTCATAACTTGCACTCCGTTAAGAGCTCGTATTACCCCAGTTCTTCAGCAGCTTCACTGGTTGCCCATAGAAATCTTACTCCTTACATACAAGTGTATCCATAAATCTGCGCCTTCATATTTGTGTGACCTGCTCCATATCACCACTGTTTCCCGCCCTCTCAGATCATCATCTGCTATTCATCTTACTGTTTCGTCCTCACACCTTATCACTATGGGGAACAGAGCTTTCAGTCGCTCTGCTCCCCGGCTCTGGAACTCTCTTCCTCCTGCACTAAGAAATATTGACTCCCTCTCCGTATTTAAGACACAGCTCAAAACACATCTGTTTAAACTGGCTTATTTGCTTTAATGCTGATTTTATCTGTTGTCAAGCTCTGTTTTGTAATTTTAACTTATTTTATGTATTTTATGACTGTTGTTCCTTTTATTAATTGTGTTCTTTGTAAGGTGACATTGGGTTTCTGAAAGGCGCCCTCAAATAAAATAAAATAAATTATTATTATTATTATTATTATTATTATTATTATTATTATTATTATTATTATTATTATTATTATATGTGTGTGAGTGTGTGAGGGAGTTTGCATGTGTGTCCTGATGTTGTAGTCTAGGTGTTCGTTTGTTACAAAACCCAGAGGAAGTGATGTCATTGTGCAGCTTGTCTAAATGTTGTGTTAATGCTGCTTGTTGTTGTGTAGTATCTCATTTTAACATGAGCTTTGCTGATATTAGTTATAGTATTGTTGTGCTCCACATGTTTGAGCAATGATTGGACAAAGTGAACAACAGTGACACACTTCTTTTGCTCTGTTAACATTGATATATTGGTTTAAGCACTTTGGCTGTAATATATGTTATTGGTGCACCACTTCAGAACAACAGTCACCTTAAAGTGCAATATTAAAATACAATATTAGAGTAAAAACACACACAACCAGCTAATTCTCTATAAGCAGCTCTTGTTGTCAGTGAGAAGGAAGAAGGGGAAGTTGTAGCGTGTTACCTGTAGCAGTTTGTAGAAGGTTCGATAACCGTGACGTGCAGCCACATCGGTCAGGTTCAGCTGAGAGTCATCCTGTAGGAAACCATCAGAATGAAGGTGTGCATGAAACATTACAGAAAACATAACATCCAGAAAGTCTACAGTCAGACAGCTGCTCACAGTTTCAATGAGCTAGAAAAAAATGCTATTATACCAATAAATAGATTTTAGAATATATTTAGCATTTTACATGTTATTTAATAAACAGTAATTAAACAGGTCATGAAATAATAGACAGCTTATTAACTAACATGTCACTGTAACAGTAAAGCATTCAGTGATCATTTTATAATTCAGTAACAATGGTCATTGTTTTATATGATAATAAAGCTCTAACCAGTCGATCCATTCAGCATCAGCTTCCCTGATTCCTTATTCCAAAATGACCTGATGGATACTTACAGGGGCGAGCATAAAACTGTCTTTGTCCACATCTGGAGGATACAGAATCCTGTCAATTTCATGGATGATTCCATTCACACTGAGGTCATCGCTCTTTGTCACATTTGCCTGGTTGATGAAGACACTGCCCTGAAAAAAAAAGCCAAACACAAAGTGTCCCAATAACAGAAATAAAACTGAAGAATGCTTGTTTATAATAAAGCATCGATTCGGCCTTTGTTTATTGGCAGGATTCATAAATATAGATATAAATCTATTAAACCAGCTGAGGGCTGACCTGGGTGATGCTGGTGGTCAGCACGAGTCCAGACAGCGATGTCAGGTTTCGTGGTTGGCTCAGGTCAGCAGCCAGGAGAGTGTGACACATGACGATGTGGCTGCGCAGGACATTAGCGTACCGCTCTCTCTTCCGTCTCATCTAAAAGATAAAATTACAAACTTGTTAATTTCTGATTCATCCTGAGCTGACCAGACTCTGATGTAATTACAGTGTGTCTTCAAAGACACGCTGATGTTTGTCCAGCAGTAACCAAAGGTCTGACCTCGCGTGAAGTGTTTGTCCTGAAGGCCTCGGGGTCTGGAATGAAGACAGTGAATGGCCCTCGCCCTTGCAGGGAAATCTCCATTATCTGAAAACAGAGTTCTGTTAATGCAATTCCACCAGCAGGGGGCGACAGAGGGGAGCACTACTCACCATCAGACCAAAGTAAAAGTCCGTGTGACGACGTGTCTCTATTTCCTGTAACGAGACAACAGTTAGTGCAAAGCCCTGCGGCGCTGCTTTCATTGTATTTCAGCTGCTCACCCTCGCCACAGTGCCTTTGCAGGTCACACCGTCGCCAATGAAATTTTGCCTGCAGGTGCAGCTTTGAGTGCCTGGACCTGTCATGTTGCACCGGGCATTCCGATGACAGCCGCCATTGTTCTGGAACATCAGCATCAACACGTGAGAGGGTAACAGCTTGAATTGATGTGGTCTTTACAGCATAAAAGTAAGAAACCTTTGACAGAGACAGGAGCAGCATGAAAACCTTGAACTGTATGTGCAACGCTCAACCTCAGCTTCAGTGACCAGAAAAGGAAGCACATCAGCCTCAGACAGCTTTCAGGGTTGTTTTTGCTGTCTTGACAGGACAGCAGACAGGTGGCTGTATGCTGCTCTTCTGCAGCATACCTGGGTCACCAGCTCAGCCAGGTGAGCCTTACCAGAGCCAGAGCACTGACTGAAAACACGACTACCACAGTTCCTGTGCTAAAGGAGGCGAGGACATTATTATTGTCCTGGGAACACTGAATAGAGCAGCCTAACAAGCTTCCTCCTTCACAATAGGACTTATGGGTGTAACTCTTGCCTCGCAGTTGGTGTTTTCTTACAGGGAAAGTGCACCAAGATGAGTGCTGCTGTGATTTGGTGCTACTATGGGCTGTATGTGTGATTATTAGCTGAATGATGTAATCATCTGATTCTGAATCACTCATCTTTCCCACAGCTTGAAACCAGCCAGAGTGAAGACAAACTCACCTTTTGGCACAAGTCGATGATGTTGCAGTTCTTCCCGTCACCGGTGTAAAATTCCCTGCAGACACAGGAAGTCTGCCGAGGAAAACAAAGTCACATTTAGCGCCACTGTCAGCAGAGAGCTGTGCTTAAAGTCAGACTGTAGAGGTTAGCTAGTTTTACTTTGTTCGGTCCAACGTGAATGCAGTCTGCATTGGCATGGCAACCCCCGTTTCCTTTCAGGCAGGGATTTATCTCTGTGGAGAAACACAAAACTCCACCTGGTTATCTCGGATTCACGATGCGTTCAAGCTTTTATCGTGTGTCTGATAACTTGAGCTGCTGCCAAGGATCGATGCTGAGCCAGAGCTTTTAAATTCCTCACAGCACAACAATACCACAAACCACGCAAATCAGCAGAGCTACTTAATTCAGTCATTTTGCTGGCTCTGAAGGCTTTTCTGATTGTCTGGAATCCTTTTTTGCTGTGATGCTGGAAGAACTAATATCTGGAATATTTTGCATTGGTATTTTTGCTTTAACTTCGCAGAACTTTCACAAAATGCTTTTAAGTTTTGCATTACTGCAGACTTTGTCCACCATAGTCAGACCATTACACTACAAAGCACATCCTTCTAGTATTACTGGATTTATTGTCAATGCTTTTGCTTTAACTTTCACGATTGTATTTTGCACTCTTTCATGTCCCTGTAATCCTCAGTGTGATTGCCTCTTAGCTAATTTTTGCTTTTAAAAAAAAAAAAAAATTTATATAAACTGATCTGAACAAGTTAATGTTGACTCGGAATAATTAAATTTTCCTTTTTAAAAATCGTTTTGAATCCTTGTACCAACTATAACTAAGCCAGAGCAGCTGTGAGCAGGTGTGAGCAGTTGTGGCAAGTGAGTTTACCGACACACACAAGTCCGTCGCCCGCGTAGCCGGCATTACAGACACAGTCTCTTCGGCCGGGTCGAGTCCTCTTACAGAGAGCGTACAGACTGCAGCCGCCGTTATCCACCACGCACGGATCTATGGCTGCATGAGTCACAAAGTGTTCAGTAAACTTTGCGGTTCACAGGAATCCTCTTTAAAAAGCTCAGACCAAAGCTGCAGGTAAGTGACCTGCAGAGCTCATAACATGTGTTACCTTGACAGAAAGTCCCGTTTCCTTTGAAGCCGGCAGCACAGATACACTGAGGGCCGGACGAGCCGGTCACACAGCTATAAAACCAGATTAAAGTTTTAACAGGAAGCATAAATCCTCCAGCGTCCTGCACGCAGAGTAACGGTTAAACTTGTGCAGACTTACTTTGCACTGCCGTGGCATCTCACCGAGCCGCACTGCTCGTCAGCTTTGGCTTCGATCTCTGCAACGACACGGATGCAGCTCAGCACAAATGACAAAAACAGTATTTCTAAAATGATCTCATAAATGAGATTTTGTTGTTCTAAATCACAGCGTTCACTTTCTCTACATTCAGCCTTACTTTGGTCACAGTGGACTCCCCTCCAGTCCACGTCACATTCGCAGGTCCCATCGCCCTTCAGTCCCTCGTTACACTGTCCGTTCTTGCATTCGCACTCTGAGCAGACAACACGTGACGATGAAGGTGAGGATGAAGATGACAGATCATGTGCTGACTAATGAAACGTACTGAACCTTGGTCACAGTGGACTCCGTATTTGCCGCTCTGGCAGGTTTCACAGGCGGTCCCGTTGAAGCCTTCGTTACACCGACACACTCCGGTCCCGTTTGTCCCGTCCACACACACTCCATTATCGAAGCAGGGCCGACCCTTTGGACCGGGGCATGCCTCGCAGTGCTCCCCGAAAAACCCTGCACAGCACCTCTGCTCCTGAAAGCACGGAAGAGTTCTAGTGTGCCACACTGCCGAGGATGCTTACCCTGAAATGAGCAGGAAACGTACGATCTTCTTCTGGAGGCAGGTGGCTCTGCAGCCGACTCTCGGGAGCCACTCGCCCTCAAACGTGCGGGTGAACATGCACTTTCTCGTCCTCCTCACCGATTTCTGCACAGAGCAAAACACCAACTTCTTACTTTGACTTTAGCTTCTCATGGACCAGGCTGTGCATCTGAGCTGAGTATTAATTTCAGCATTTTCTACAACGCATGTTTCAAGAAAATATTTACACAGTATAACCAGTTATCCGCGTGAAGCGATAGAGCAGTGAAAATAAAACTCTTCATTTCAGTTCACCTAACTTACAAAATGTAGTGAAGTAGATTCTGGGGTAGGATTTTACACGATGTCCACAAACGCACCACTAACATCCACACCTTCCCAGTTGACAATTAGCAGGCTTATAAGAAACAGCTGCGCTTCACTACCAGAAGGAGGCATTTGGCAGTCTAGTCCAACTAAGGTGGCTGAGAGCATTAGGCAGTTGAGCACTGCAGATCTCTCAAGGAAAGCCACTCAGTTTAGTATTGCCCTGTGGTAAGTGGGACTCTTGTGTTCATCATAACGTGGCATATAGTAGGGTGGACTTTGACAACTGTTTTCCTCTTTTGTTGCAGGTTTGCACTATACTGCTGCTGTCTTGTCATGCTGTTTTGTTTGTTATGTGATGCTTTTATAATGAACAGTACTTTGGGGTGTATTTGTTTTATGTAGATCTCTTATTAATGTGTGTAACGTTTTATGCTTTGTTTTATTGCTTTAGTGGAGGTGCGGCCGCTTGCTGAGGGGCTAGGCACGTGAGGTGGAATCCCTTCCGACACATGCGAGTGTACACACCGGGCATAGGTAGAGTGCACCGTTTAGTGTGAGTGACAGTGAGGTCTGGAGTGAAGTTACACGGGTGAGTAATTGGTGGCACCCTTGGGCACTCCTCCCCGTAGGTTGCCTCAAGTGGCCGGTCGCCACTATTTTGTTTAGTTATTCTTTTATCATGCTGTGATTGTTTTAGGGTAGCATCGTGGTAGGGAGTCTCGTCATTTTAATCATCGTTTGTTAAAGTGTTTCAATGAACTATTTTGCTGTCTCAACCCTGCTACCCTAGGTGCCTTCCTGATTTTATAGTTATGTTTTTAGTAGTTCCTCTTAATAAATTTTGATTTGTAAACTTCCTTTGTCTCACCTCTGCCGTTAATAACGAGTCTGTGGGCTTTGGTAGCCAGTGCAACACGTACATTGGCTAGAGAAATCTTTCCTGGGGTGTAACGCCCTCCCCCAGGTGGCGTTGTCAATATCTTAGTTACCGTCCCCGGTTATTCCTCTATCGCGACACCACAAAAAGAAAAACATTTTTACGCTCCATTGAATAAAACGCTGGTTTATTTTTGAAGATGTCAAATTCGATATGAAATACAACTAAATGATACCAGTTTTCCCACAGCTGTTAAAGAGCAATTTACTTTTCAGCACAATTATACTTAAAATACGTTTTGTTTTTTTTTAATGTTACTTTAGTAAAGTGGTCAGTGATCACTGGGAGGTCATGAAATTACTTTAGTGGAATACCATGAAGTCCTCTCTAGATCTTCTCCTACTTCTTGTTAGTCTTGTAAAGTCGGACAAACTGAACGTAATTCTTTTGACTTTGGGGAGAATTTTCCATCTTTCATAACTTAAAATCGAATCATCTGCAAACAGATTTTCTGTAGTAGCTGCATTTATCCGATTCTAGTTTGGTATAAAAGTTTGTTTAGAGAGCCTGGTGGTTAAAAAGGTCTAAGCTTTGAAAGATTAACGATGATCAGAAAAAGTCCGAAAACTTACATCTGGGATGGTGTCATTGGGGCAGATCTTGTTTTGGTGGAATAAGCAGTCGACACAGTTCCCCTTTGGAGCAGAAAGAAAACGTTGATATTTATCATGCGATTGTTTCTCCATTCATTGAACTGGATTGGAGGCGCTGAAGTATCTGCAGGACTTAACTGGTGGCTGAGGACCTTACCATGACTTTTGTGTACGTGAGATCATCGCAGCGATTTCTGTTGATCTGAAGAACAGCTGACAGACCGTGGATCACTCCTTTACCGCTCAGGATGTCAGAGGAGTTCATCTGAGCATCATTCACAAACAGCTGCATGAGGAAAACACAGGTCAGGTGGTTTGTATCGTGTTGTTTAGACTGTCATGCGATCAGATGCAACAGAATCAATATTTCATGATGAGACCTTTCCGTCTCGTGGGAAAATGCCGAGCTGGAAGGAAAACCCAAGCATCGTCTCTTTGTAACCTCCGAGCTGAAGGTCTGTTTTTAACAGACGCTGCGATGCCACCACGTGGTAACGAGTGGTCTTCACATCCTGTTCAGTGACAAAATAAAAGCACAACTAATTTGAAGGAAGTAAATAAATAAACCCGAGGACGAGGTCAAAGTCTTTAATTACAGAGTTTAGTTCTATATTTACCATCTGCTTTAAATGTCGAATGAAATAACAGAACTGAGTGTTGCCCACTTAATCCATTTTAAAATATGTAAAAATTTCAACAATGTCAGCAGTGAGTAAAAAGACTAATCGGGTCAAATACAAACTTTTTGATTCAGCTTCAAATGAAAATGCAGACAAACTGAAGCCTAAATTGTATACCAGGGCAGTGGCTGCCATTTTCTTCAGGTACTCAGTGACGGCGGCGTCTGTCGGAGCAAAGATGGTGAATTCGTCAGCCTGTTCGATATCATTGGTCAGGTTATAATCCTAAACAAAAAGCCAGAGAAAGCACAACATGTAAGGAAACATTGAACATTTAAGCATGGTGTGAGCGTGTTTGAGAGGTCGTACGATGAGATACGATCTGAAGAGTGAGAACTCCGGCCTGAGAGCGAGCGTGGCCAGCAGACCTTCACTCGGTGTTCTGTCGGGAACCAAAACCTTTAAAAAAAAAAAAAAGGCTGAAATCGGTAATGGGTACAAAAAAACTTGCTGGGTGTTGTTTTTGTAGTATTTCTTTTTACCTTATCGATGAAATGGATCAGTCCGTTTGTAGCAGCAACGTTTGACGTGCCGATGAGAGCTCCACCAACAGAAGTGATCTGCACAAACAACCATTTTATTTTTTAAGTAAAATTAGAGAAAAGCACCAAGTTTACAGCCATATACTGAAAGTGGACGAAAGTCCACATTTTTATTCTGGGACTCCACTCAAGTATGCTCACATGATTCAGTCCAAACTTTTTTTTTTTTTTTTTTTTGGTACTGGCCGTCTGCTCAGCTCCTCAGTTCATCCTTTGGTTGAAACAACAAGCTATAGCTTATGTTCCTTTAAGATAGCCTATTTAATTCTGATTGGCCAGCTTCAGGAGGCATACTGAAGGGCAGCAGTGCTTTTTTTTTTTTTTTTTTTTTTTTTTTAAAGAGCAATATTTTGGCTCACAGAGATTATACATTTATGTGCCTGATACCAGATAAGGTTATTTTAACAACCTGTAACTTTATAAGCATTTGACAGAACCTCAGAAAGATGAGAGCCAGCCAAAAGGCAGTTAGATCAGCCCGAGGATGAGCAGCGATGGCTGTGTGGAGTTTATGTGAAACACCTGAGCTGCACGGGCTCAATGAAAGATCAAAATTCTCTCTGTGTGCAGAAATCCTCACACAGAAAGCGTTACCTCATCGTTTGTAGAAACACGAAGTGTTGTTCCCAGAAGGGACGTCACAGACGACATGTTCCAGAGGCTAGATAAGGGGTAGTCACCAGCGATCATGTGATTTCTGTCAGAAGGGGACAGATCGCAGCACAGCTGTTACATATATTCATATAAAAGCCCCAAAATAAAATGATGTCACTTTAAATCCTGCGGAGCTGTAACCTGATGAGACTCGGCAGGTTTCCCCTCAACGTCCAGAAGTTTTTGTCTTCTGAGGACATTTTGCTGATGGCTGCTGAGGATGGAACCAGGAGGGTGAGGTTCTGATCCAACAGAGACGGAGACAGATCCGAATCCTAACAGAGCGTATGAACACAAACACAATCTTTGCTCAGGTTGGTATTAAAAATAGCTGCTGGTACATGAAAGACCACAGGGAAGTCAGTCTTGTAAACTGCATGGTTATTAAAAAATGAAGCATGGTGGCACGAACCGATAACCCCCACAGTGTGAGCCTAACATTGCTAAGAGTATTCATAAATGTATAATTTTTCTGTACCCATATTTATGTGCTCTAATTGGGTTTTCATGTGGTATGAATGAATATCAGTGAATATGATACACTGTGTTTACAGTGGCATAATTACGGTGCCTAGTCTACATGTGAAGCATGTGCTAAACGTGTGAGTTAGTTTGTGATATACTGCACGTTTCATTTATTGTATAATAATCAAAGTGATGACAATCTGCACATAATGCATCTGTAAAACGTGACATACTCACAGTCATCCATGTGAAGAAGTCTGAGGCCTCAGGCAGGATGCTGAGCTCCTGAAATCACCAGGAAACAAAGTCAGCTGGAAGCAAAGACACGATCCTGCCGACTGAACCTGGCCATCACTCACCTGTTCAACTGTACCGTAACACACGTGTCCATTTCCAACATATCCTTCATCGCAGACACACGTCCACTGAGAGGACAGCAGGAGACAGCTGGCCTGCACACACAAACAGTTAAACAGGGACACGGTCACCGAGGGCCTAGCTTCGGTCATTTTTATCAGTACAAGACAGACATCATGCACAAGACGTCTTTTACTTTGAAAAAATTAAAGGAATTCAGTGAAGCTCTGCAGAGCCTCTGATTGGCTCTGAGGAACGATGATTGGCTGGTTTAGTTACTAGGAGTGAATCTACAGACCAGTTTGACCAGGTATGGTCAAATTGAAGATATAGTTAAAGGAGTCAAATCTGGCTTTGACACCCTGATCACAGCGCTGCAGGCAAATGACATCAAAGCAAAAGACCTGTTTTATGTTGCTGTTGGTATGACCCATAATGATTTTAGCAGAAAAGATGCTTTCAGTGGATTTGCTTGGTTTTTGCTACTCACAAAGTAGTGACAGCCTCCGTCTGCAGTCACACACTGGTTCACAGGTTCACAGTCCTGCCCGCTGCCCTGGTAACCGGCCTTACAGGTGCAGTCACTCTGAACAGGAGCAGATAACAACAGGACATTACTGCTGCGGAGACAGCTTCACTCTTTGGTGCTGGTGGACCAGATCACAAATCACTTCTGATGATACTGCCTAAAGGCGGCATGTATAATGTAAACAGAATTGATCTTAGCACAGAGCCCTGTGGAACTTCATAATTAATCTTAGTGTGTGAAGAGGACTCTCCATTTACATGAACAAACTGGAGTCTATCAGAGAGGTATGATACGAACCACTGCAGCACCGTACCTGTAACACCTACAGCATGCTCTAGTCGCTCTAATAGAATATTATGATCAACAGTATTGAACACTCCACTGAGGTCTAGCAGGACAAAATTCCAGTCTGAAGTGGGCACCCCACTTTTTTCTGAGGAACCATGAACCATGGGCTCAGAATTAGAGGTGCCAGATCTTTACAGAAGGCAAATAAAGCTGACAGAACCACATCATCTACAAAAGGAAGCAGCAAGATCCTGAGACTAACAAACTGCCACGTGGCAAACAATAAATAGTTCCATTTATTGAAACTGCAAAATTGGGTGCTTTTGACTGGGGGGTTCCCAAAAACAATGATGTGACATCATTAAGAACAAACTGACCGACAACGTGTTAAAAAACTGAGATAAAAGAAATATTCCCCCCGAGGTCCGCACGGCCCCAGTTTAAATAGGCCAGTGTAAGTTTGAATAATCAACCACATTTCAGGATTCACATTTTCTGGCCCTCTCATGTTTTAATAATACTGCACTCCTTACTGCCACCCTAAGGACGGACTGAAGTGGTGCATTCCCAGGGTAAGAGCACATTAATGAGATAAACCATCCGCCAGTGACATCTCCACATTCACGTCTCAGCTGATATCAGTGTCCTTACCTGTCCGGGTCCCACATAGACACAGGTGGCGTTGGGGTGGCAGCCGCCTCTGTCAGGACTGTTGCAGTTGTTGATTGGTTGACACTCATCCCATCCTCCCTCCATCCAGTCAGACACTGACAGACGTGAGTCCCAGGGCCTGTCTTTATACATTTAGCCTGCAAGGGGCAGAATGCAGCACGGGCAGCAGTGAGGAAACAGACTGCGTTTTTTACAGTTACACTATAAAAACTGGAGACTTACGTTCAGGCTGCAGCCACCTCGGTGGGGTGGAGCACACGGGTCAGATGCCACACAGGTGATCCCATCACCTTGGAAACCAGTTTTACAAATACACCTAAAATAAGACACAGTACAGAATAATGTGTGGTACGAGATAACTGTTCACTACAGACGTCTGACTCAGGGTTAAAGCTCAGACTCCATCCAGGTAAACTCACTTGACTGTTCCCTGGCTGAAGTCACAGTCAGCATGTGCGTGGCAAAACTGAGCCTGAGCGCCGCAGGCGGCCGTCTGTCGATCACACAAAGGACCGGTGTAACCCTGCTGACACGAGTCCACTTTACACCGACCGTCTGAATCCGGACGGTTATCACACTGCCCGTGGATACAGGGGCAGGCTGAGGATAGACAAGTACATCATCTTTACATCATGTCTGCCTGTGTGACGTCACAAAGTATGAGTCAGACTTACTTCTGTCACAGTTTGGTCCATATTTGTTGGAGGAGGAGCAGTACTGACAGCGTGAGCCGCTGAAGTTCGGTTCACAGCTGCATGTTCCATTTCTTGAAACCCCCTCCGAACACTGAAAAGCACAAAACACACTTTAGGTTCCTCCTCCATAAACCAAACACCTCACTTTCCCTGCAAACACTGAAACATTTCAGTTTCCTTCCGTCACCGCTGGACTGCAAACAGGAAAAAGTCTGTTCAAAGAACAGAAAGCACTAAAGCTTTTTCCAAATAAAGTAATTAAGGAATTATGGGAATGTCTGACCTGCCCGTGTCCAGAGCAGGGCGTCTGGTATCCACCTGGACATGGTCTGCAGTCTGGACCGTAGAAACCTTTACAGCACGCTGGAATCTGAACGGATATACACGAGGTTATTCTGACGGCCTCTACAAAGTTACATCTTCTAGGCTTCAGTGTCTTTCTGTTCCAACATGAAGTAAACTGCCCGGTTTTACTAAAGTGTGTACCGTGACCGTTGAGTTGCAGTGTGCAGAGCAGCCTTTCACTGGGACTTTAACAGATGGGTTGCCCTTGGTGAAAATATAAGAACATCCAAATGTGGAAGAGCCCTGGATAAAGACAGCATAATCATATTTTAAATCAGCTCAAAGTAAGAAAGGGAAGTGAATAAATATCCAGATGCTTCACAGTGAGTTCAGTCTTACTGTAAAAACTCCAGAAGAGCATTGGGTCATTATTAGCTTTGAACACGCGACACATTCACCCTGAAAAACACATGAGTTGATCAAATATCTCAAACACACTCAAAGGGCTTCAGTGTTTTAGGGCGGGCTCAAAGGTGAAGGGGCAGAATCTCGCAGTGTCCTCGTGTTTCTGTTCCTGGGATAAAGTCACCTCACTGATCAAATACATTTACTCATCCAATGGAGGCAGAGTCCAACAGTGTAGCATGGTGTGATGATCCAACTATGTGAGCTCCATGAGCTCAGTGCCTTTTGTTTTCACACTGAGCCTCATACGCTGCACATACAGTGGGGCAAAAAAGTATTTAGTCAGCCACCGATTGTGCAAGTTCCCCCACTTAAAATGATGACAGAGGTCAGTAATTTGCACCAGAGGTACACTTCAACTGTGAGAGACAGAATGTGAAAAAAAATCCATGAATTCACATGGTAGGATTTGTAAAGAATTTATTCGTAAATCAGGGTGGAAAATAAGTATTTGGTCACCTCAAACAAGGAAAATCTCTGGCTCTCACAGACCTGTAACGTCTTCTGTAAGAAGCTTTTCTGTCCCCCACTCGTTACCTGTATGAATGGCACCTGTTTGAACTCATCATCTGTATAAAAGACACCTGTCCACAGCCTCAAACAGTCAGACTCCAAACTCCGCCATGGCCAAGACCAAAGAGCTTTCGAAGGACACCAGGAAAAGTATTGTAGACCTGCACCAGACTGGGAAGAGTGAATCTACAATAGGCAAGCAGCTTGGTGTGAAAAAATCAACTGTGGGAGCAATCATCAGAAAATGGAAGACATACAAGACCACTGATAATCTCCCTCGATCTGGGGCTCCACGCAAGATCTCATCCCGTGGGGTCAAAATGATCATGAGAACGGTGAGCAAAGATCCCAGAACCACACGGGGGGACCTGGTGAATGACCTGCAGAGAGCTGGGACCAAAGTAACAAAGGTCACCATCAGTAACACACTACAACGGCAGGGAATCAAATCCCGCAGTGCCAGACGTGTTCCGCTGCTGAAGCCAGTGCATGTCCAGGCCCGTCTGAAGTTTGCCAGAGAGCACATGGATGATACAGCAGAGGATTGGGAGAATGTCATGTGGTCAGATGAAACCAAAGTAGAACTTTTTGGTATAAACTCAACTCGTCGTGTTTGGAGGAAGAAGAATACTGAGTTGCATCCCAAGAACACCATACCTACTGTGAAGCATGGGGGTGGAAACATCATGCTATGGGGCTGTTTTTCTGCCAAGGGGACAGGACGACTGATCCGTGTTAAGGACAGAATGAATGGGGCCATGTATCGTGAGATTTTGAGCCAAAACCTCCTTCCATCAGTGAGAACTTTGAAGAGGAAACGAGGCTGGGTCTTCCAACATGACAATGATCCAAAACACACCGCCCGGGCAACAAAGGAGTGGCTCCGTAAGAAGCATTTGAAAGTCCTGGAGTGGCCTAGCCAGTCTCCAGACCTCAACCCCATAGAAAATCTGTGGCGGGAGTTGAAAGTCCGTGTTGCTCGGCGACAGCCCCAAAACATCACTGCTCTCGAGAAGATCTGCATGGAGGAATGGGCCAAAATACCAGCTACTGTGTGTGCAAACCTGGTAAAGACCTATAGTAAACGTTTGACCTCTGTTATTGCCAACAAAGGTTATGTTGCAAAGTATTGAGTTGTATTTTTGTTATTGACCAAATACTTATTTTCCACCCTGATTTACGAATAAATTCTTTACAAATCCTACCATGTGGATTCATGGATTTTTTTTTTTTCACATTCTGTCTCTCACAGTTGAAGTGTACCTCTGGTGCAAATTACTGACCTCTGTCATCATTTTAGGTGGGGCAACTTGCACAATCGGTGGCTGACTAAATACTTTTTTGCCCCACTGTATACATTTAGGGTCAATCGATCATGTCATTAGACGTTAAACTCACCATGATGATTTTAGTCTCTGTGATGTCACATCTACTGGGCAACACAGGTTCGATGGAGGGCGGAGTCAAAACTCCATCCATCACATAAAGACGTCCATTTTTTGCCTCCACAGCTGCCTCCAACACGGCTGCACCATTAACCAAGATCTGGCCCTGAAACAGTGAAACGACGACCGGACAGAAATCCTGAGCTCATGTTGAAAGTGTGGAAAACAGTCTTACTAAAATGCGGATAATAGGAGTGAATTCAACTTTTCTTTAGATGATGAAGGTTTGACACAGAAACCAGGAGCTGATGTTCAGTCAGCTTTAAGTCACACGGCTGTATTCCTTACAGGATCCATGGTGAATATTTACTGATTACACTCATTTCTCCAGAAAATGATTACAGAAATAAAAACGCTGCACTTTTAGGGATTTTTGTTATCTGGATTGTATTTTAAACTCTATTAATAATATTAATAAACTCTATTAATGTCAAGCTTTCAAATGTTCAAGTTGAAAGTGAAATAAATTTCAGCAATATTTAAAAAGATCTGCAAGCTTATTAAAGAGACTAAATCTGCATGAACAGCACTAACACACACACACAGAAAGGATATTGGAACAATAATGTCAGTATTATAGCATACTTAGAACCAAACACTTTCCACCCTCCTTTGTTATTTTATAAGATTCATGATATTATTTAAGTATTCAACAGTGACTGTGACAGAGATTTGGGGTGATGTTGGGGGTTACAGATGGTGGAAATCCACACTTACATTTTCCATCACGGTGATTGTCAGAACCTGATTGGCCATTGTCACGTATCTTGGGGTTGACACAGCATTGTAGATCTCCAGCTGCATAACAGGGAGATAAAAAAAAACTGTCAGAGGGAACAAACGTGAATTATTAACGAGTCAGCGGACTGTCGCTCTCACCGCAGTGGCCGGAATAATGTGGTTCCTGAGAAACTCCAGCAGTTTGCTGTGACCCTGAGGATTCAGAACCAATCGTCTGGTGAATTATTCATGACAGACTACAAATTTGTCAGTTTTTGTGTCCATCCTTACGTCAGGGCTCATGAGATACTTCAGGTGTTCTTCTATCATTGCATCAAATGCTGCAGTGGTGGGTGCAAGCACAGTGATTGGTCCGGCTGGTCCAGCAAAGATGCCAGAGGAGTTTTCTGCAGTGAGCACAAATTGTCCAGTTTGATCAATTTAGAAACTTAAGAACCAGGTCCTCATGCACCCGAATGTGTTACTAAGATAAATGCTCATGCACCGTGTTTGAGGTGGGATTCAGGCGACTCTCGGTCCTGACTCTGCTAATATTTACACATTTCTTCCTGCAGCATGAACATCAGAGACGTCTAATCCTGCAGGACCACAAATCAGTGCAATATTTCCTATTTAATCTGTGTTCAGAACCTAAAACTGATCATAGAAATATCACACTCCAAACATCTTCTGTGTCAGTGTTGACACAAAGCCCTGATCCAGTGTAATAATGTAATGATCCCATCCTCTGGTGGGCAGGAATGTGACTGGGACATTGGGACATGCAATAAAATGTCTTCCAGTGTTCAACTTGTTATTGACTCAATACAGGAAGTTACAGGATGTGATTAACTTCTAAACTGAGAATAAAAAAGTTGGCGTCTGCATGTATTCATGGCCTGATGTTCCTGCTATTGAAGAAAAGAAGTCTATACCTGTAATAAACTGGTGAAAGTCTGAAACTTGCCGTAGTCAGAAACGATCTTCATCAGGTTCTCCTGTGGAACAACAAAGTGTTCATGTAATGAGATGAATGGAGACATAATGAACAGGTTTATCTTTGCTGAGCACATTTACACCCAAACTAAAATCTTTCAGTCTTGCCACCTCAGTGTTGCTTTCTACGATGGGAGGCACGCTTTCCATCAGCCTATTGATGATATGGATGATCCCATTAGATGCAACAACATTAGACTGGATGATTACACCTTTCTTCCTGCCGCCATGGATACGGATTTTGGTTTGAGCGTCCTGGAATGAAACCAGAGGAAGATCTGACAATACAAAATTCTATCAAAGCCATTGGAGGCTTACCACTTTAACATTTGGAAGTGTGAAGACCGTAACAGTTTCACATGTTATCAAAAGTCTCTGAAGTACTTAAGACTGGACTTGGTGTCCACTGTGTGCATCACTTATTTGATTATAAATCTTAATTCATTCTTACAATAAACAGATGCAAGCCAAGTCTGTGAATGCTCTATTTATTGTCATCTTTATTGTGTTTCCAAGGGTTTAAAAACAGGATTCAGTCAAGTTATTTGTTTAATTGCTTAGGGAAAGGGTCTGAGTTTGGGTCTCGGTCAGGTTCTAGTTCGGGTTCTGGGTTAGCATTTTGCTTTGGGTTGGTTTGTTTCTTATGTGAAAAAACAAGTCATCACTCACTTTCCTCAAATTGTTTCAAATCTTTTTATATTTCCTAATTTTTTTGCTTCGTGCCCTGACATGTTTACACTTCATGTTGTATCAATCTGCTGGTGATGAAGCCTCTCACCCCCTCTGATGTGTCCGTCTCTGCTGATTTTCCCGTCAGTGTGTAGAAGACATCAGTTTTCTTCAGTGTGTCAAACTGCATCATCCCAGCGACCAGATGCATCTTACACAGGTATGTAGCTTTGGACCTGTCCGCTATCAGAGTCCTCACCTAGTAAGAGGAGTAAAGGCAGATGTTTGAATCCTGACTGAACCCGTTTTGATTGAATTGTGTTTTTTCCTCTGGAGCTCAAAGAACGATGAGCTCCCAAAACAAAGCCAGGGTGTGAAAGAAACATAAAAGTGGCTCTAAAGTTAAAAGGAAGCTAAAACTAGCTGCTGATAAAAGTGGATCAGTTTATTTGAAGGGATTCGTACCGGCGTTCCCTTGAAGCCTTTATTTATCGGGATGAAAACGGTGAACGGACCCAAATTCTGCAGCGGCCACGACAAAGATCCTGCAAAACACACACAAACACAATCATCAACATTAGTTCTTTTCATGTGAGACGACTTCATTGACCATCTGTAAAATGTCTCACTACACAGATCGCATCTGAATACCTCCAAAAAACAAGTTGTGCATCAGCTGACGACTTGTCATTGCCAATAAAGCGGAGCAGTAATTGAGCATCGCTCCTATGTTTTACCATGGGATACGTCGGTTATGTCATGTGTTCTGGAGAATAAACAGAGCAGGATCGAACAGGAAGGCTACTTTAGGGGCGACCGTGCAGAACCCAGATTAAACATTTTAAAACTCACTTATAAAAAAAAGTCCTGGATGTGGTAAATAAAAGTGCTTAAAGGAGAAACTTGAAATAATTTTTCTGTATCAGTTTAATTTTTATGAATGCTAGTTTATTTACTGAGTTTTATTTAATATATCTGTCACTGGGCAGGTCACACCAGAACACCGTAGGCCAGAGGGAAAAGCTTACATGTGTCCCTGCACAGAGAGCTAAAGCTGAGGAAGTGAAAGTTTTCTGCTTTTTATGGACCAAATCACCTCAAACTGAATCCACATACCAAACAGAGTGATGGCATTGCTCAGCTGACCCGTCCACTGGCCTCCTGGTTCTGTGTTCAGGTCATTCAGACGCTCCATGATGTTCCCAATGCAGACTTTACCATTACCAATGTAGCCCTGGAGACAGGCGCACCTGAGGGACAGAGCAGCAAGTGACGGCTCAGTTCTGCAGCTCTGCTACTTGCTGCCTGCAGATTCAGGTATTGGTCCATGCAGACATTCAGTAAAGTAAAGTGACTGACTCAACTTGTCCAGGTCCCACGGTGCTGCAGTTGGCGTTCCGGTGGCAGGAATCAGGTGTGCAGGAGTTCTTTAGGCTGCAGCCACCGCCCGACAGAGTGTCAAACCCAGAGAGGCACTCACAGTGGGACTGAACAGAGCACAGAGCACAGCAGATTCAGAGGTCACTGACAAGGTCATCTGACAGCAAGCCGCTGCCCCCTGTGGGCCACAGCTCGTTACACACATGATGTGAAAGGTCAGCCAAAATGTTTTACCCTGCCCGGTCCATCGTACACACAGCGGGCAGACTCAGCGGCGCAGCCGCCACGATCGGTCTGACACGGGTCAATGGCCATGCAGACCCGCCCGTCCCCGCTGTAGCCCTCATTGCAGGTACACAGGTGCTGGTTTGGTCCAGTGTGGACACAGGAGGCCTGAGCGTGACACACCCGCTGCAGACACGGATTTATGGCTGAGAAAGACAAAGTGACAAAGTGAGAAAGACAAAGCTGGAGCACACAGAGACTCAAAGACTGTGACATTTACACTGACCACAGACGGGAGAGAGAACTAGAGGTGTGAGAGAGAGAGAGAGAGCACCAAGGGGGTACATATAAGCTCACATAAACACTTGGCTCCTGCTCTCTGGTAGCCGGGTAGACACTGGCACACTAACTGCCCCGTCAGAGCTTCTTCAATACAGCGAGAGTTCTGCTGACAGCTGAGAGCTGCACACTCTGGTAACTCTGAAACACAATACAGGTGTTAGCACAGGTGACAGGGTGCAGGCAAATGCAGAAACTGTATAGGTAACAGGAAACAGGAAAAGATAAGCTGACATGTTACCAAATCAGGAGAAGGACCAGACAACACAGCGGGACACCTGCTGCAGGTGGAGTTACCTGTGAATGTAAAGGTACCAGCAGGAGGACTGACCTTGGTCACAGTTGGGACCCGTGTATCCAGAGAAACAGGTGCATCGGCCGTCGCCCACTATTCCAGAAGCACAGAGGCCGTGGACACAGGAGCAGACTGCAAACAGTGTAAACAGAATTACGGTGGGTCAGAGGTTCCTGAGAACTCAGTGCATCTGTCACAGCTGGAGATGACGTTACCTGAGCTACAGGTGGGGCTGTACCGTCCAGGTGCACAGTCCTCACAGGCAGTTCCTGCAAAGCCCTCCTGGACACACACACACACACACACACACACACACACACAATTAAAAACAATGATAAACAGGATGTGACATCATGGGTAAACTTTAAGAGAGCCGTGGTTCTGGCCTGTAGAGAGACAGATTTGTAATGCAAACAGTTTGCTGCTGGGTCCTGTTACAGGAACCTGTATACCGATGTATTTTTCAAAGGTGGAGGGGTTCTGCTTTTACGGTCATTAATTATTTAAACCTTTCAGCCAACCACCGATGCAACACACACATTTATGGGGTTTGATTATTCACAGGGTTCTTGGGTTCCTGTAACAGTCTGAGATCTAAGGTTCTAAAGGGCTCTAGAATCTAGAAGCTCTGAGGTCATTTACTGTTGGTTCTGTGGACAGTGAGTGTTGTTCAAGGTTCTAATATTATGCCTTCTTTATGACAATAAACCCAGATATATGATTACGTCCTAAATATACATTTATATGGACACAAACTCACGTGAAGACTGCAGATTACAGTGATTGTGTCAGTCTGCTTTCACGTTATTGTAGTTTGTTTTATTTTTTGGTTTGTCTGTGTTCCAATCAGCTTTGCTTTCTCACTCCAATTTACCTGCAAATCAGCTGATTTTTGTCACCAGGTGTGTGACGTGATGTGAGAGCAGGTGTGTGAGGTGACACTGTCTTTCATTGTTCTTGTAACAGCGAAAATAAACATCTATTCTATGAGAGCAGGTGTGTGAGAGCAGGAGTGTGATGTACAGTTAGAGCAGGTGTGTAAGGTGAGAACAGGTGTGTGAGGTCACCTGGCAGCTGCAGGTCCCATTCCCTCCCAGTCCAGCGGAGCAGATGCCTCTGCCGCTGCAGGGTCTGGCGGCCTGGTCAGGACACTCTGAAAGAGAACGGGCACATGGTGTGAACAGGAAGCTGACGCTTCATGATTGTGGAGCGCTGCTGTTGTGTTTTCTATGAGGAAACAGACCCCCCCCCACACACACACACACACACACACTTCCTGCCATCCTCCTTCATGTCATCACATCACCATCATCTGTTTCCCTTCCCCTCTTCCGCTCACAGAACAAATAACCACCACAGCATCACAGGATAGCATCGCAGGAAGCACGGATACCAGGATCGTTCATTCCTGGGTGTTTTTTTTCCTCTTTGAAAGTTATGAAGAAATCCTTCTTATATTTTTAAGTATTTGAACATGTGCCTGTATTATTTTATCATTACTTTGATGCTAAGTCAGTTTATGGCAGCGTCACTTAGGACCGGAAGGTCGGAGCCGGACCAGAGAAATGATCAACAGTTCATAATGAAAATAACTTCTGTTTGATACCAAACATTTGAAAGTGAACATAGTTTAAAAAAAAAATCTGTTTTCACATGACTGCACAGCGATGACCATCAAATATATACTGGTTCTCATACTCAGGAGACATTTTACTTGTTATAATTAAGTATTTTTTATGATATTACTCATACTTTCACATGAGTATCAGGACTTTTACTTTTAAAGGTACTTTTACGTAACAACGACTTCCTCCACTTGTTGGAGGATTGCTTTGGGGTTTTCTGTGAAAACTTTGTAAGAGTTTCAGTGATTTTTTTTTCTTTTTTGCGTTTCTAGTGGCAGAGTCTTCAGTGAAGGTGGAGCTGGGGGTGGATGGAGGACAAGCAAAGTCCTAGAAGACCCCAGGTTCAGGTGTGTCAGCTCTCAGGAGCAGAAAAAACTGAGCATTACTTTTCTGCTTTGAACAGATAAAGCAGGCATGAGACGCATGGGGGGGGGGGGGGTGTCCACTGAGTAAGCAGATTCCAGTCCTGCTGACAGCGTCTGACCAGGGGAAATGGGGAGGAAGTTTCTGGTTCCTGCAGGACGATCTGGTTCCTACAGAACTGAAAATGTGACACAAGTCACCTGGAAGCCAGAGCTCAGTTTCTTTAGACCACCGAGAAGTCTTGTAGTGAATTTCTGGACAGACCGAGTGTGCTGCTGCTAGCATGCTATGACCAATGAGTGAATACAAAAATTATCACAGTCACAAATTTACATTTTAAACTTCTTTAAATTTAAACGTATTGAATTAAATGTAGCACATGGACCAAAGCGCCCGTCCACCCTCACATCACCCTTACAGAAGCTGCTCGGCTGTGAAGTCTCTGTGCTGATGTTAACGCTGGAGGAGGTTTGAAGCTCAGCAGCTCCTGAGTCAGCAGGACTTTTACACTCACAACTTTTACGCACTCGATGGCACCGCTCTGTAACTTCGCATGCTCCTTTACTTCTTGTCTGAGCCGCTGAGGCGCCTGAAAGCTGAAGAAAGTTCACAGCCTGCCTCACAGCAACATCCACACCTGCTCTCTCTCACACATTTGTAAAGGCAGACTGCGTTGCGGTGCTGGACTTTACACACCTGTGGTAACAGGATCATTTTTCCATTCTTTAATACAATAGACTCCCCACTACAAATGTTAGGCCTGTTATTTTGCAGCCTTTTAACATTATATGTGGTAAACGGACTGATTCTTGTACAGCACCTTTCTACTATGAGCACTCAAATCACTTTATACAACATGCTTCTCACACATTCATACAGCCTCTTTTGAATATAACATAATGATTAAATAAAAGCTTTTTGGCTCTTTGAGGACGAGCTGGTGTGTCGGTACTGACCGATGCAGTCGGGGCCCCAGTAACCTGGACAGCAGCTCTTTATTTCCACCTCCTTGTAGCACTCGAAGGAGCAGCCACTGAGGGGCAGCTTCATGCTGGGAGTGTTGATGTAGTACCTGCAGAACAGACAGACAGACTGGAGGTAAAGTGGCTGCTGATGTTGGGATCCAGGACAGCAAGGCTCTCTCCTCTTAGAGGTGGAGGTGGGTGAGGGAGGGGAGGGGTCCTTATATAGCCTGATTCAGACGGAGAGGCTGCTCTGTGGCTCAGTGTGATACGCAGAAGGACTGTTTTGAACCCTGACTCGACAGCAGAACTGTTAACTGTAAATTCAATAGAAAATTATTAAAGAGGTGATGTGGAGATCTTTTAAAGTTTCTTGTGTGAGTTGTGATGTTTGATGTGAAATTGTGGAGGTATTTGAATTTGTGCAAAGAAGCTAATCACAGTTTATTGTTTCAACCATCAGTTGAACCACAATGAGGACTTTGAGTGGACCTGTGCTATGTGGTGCTCACTTGCAGTCCTGGGCGTTGGATCTGGGCGTGGGTTTGAATCCTGATGGGCATAGGATCAGCTGGCTGATGGTGCAGGAGTGGCACATCGTGCGAGTGCGGAGCACTGTCGAGTTGGAGCAAAAGTTCTGAAAAAAAAAGAAAAGAAAAGTGTCTTTCATCAATGTCTACGCTGTGTGAGTGAAACTGTGCTGGCAGTGTGTGGCTGCAGCTCTTAGCAGGACGATTTCCAACCAATCAGGAGCTCAGTGCTCCACACACTGTCAGCGTGCAGGTAAACTAGAAGGTAGCAGTGTGGAAAAGTTCAACTCATCACTTTGTAAAACTATTAAACCTCCTCCTCTGGACCTGAAAACCAAAGACTGCTGCTGGTGGCTCGACTGGAACAGGAAGTAAGTGTAATAACTGTAATAGCAGCTGTGGTTATCTGCTCCATCAGCTCCACCCAGGAAACGGTCAAAGGAGGCAAACAGGACACGGAGTTCCTGGGCCGATGATGACTTCCTGTTACAGCCTGCAGGTTCAGATGGGAATCAGCTGCTGACAGATAAACTGGTTCCTTTTTGCCTTTGCTCGGTGACAGTTGCTTGTCAGCGGGCTCTGGCTGTTGAGATAACCTCTGATGTGATTCCCGCTCAGTTTCCAGTATCAGCTTATCTAAACACGCGGCTTCCACTAATCGATCCGCTCTGTGTCATCTCTATAAGTCTCCAACTTCACTGAAGTTCAACAGTCATCGCATTGCTGCACAGCTATTCCTGTGTGGGCGGAGCTTTAGTCTTTGGCATGTGCGGCTTCTTCCTGCAGTCTCTGCTGTGTTTCTTTGTTTGCAGCTCTGCAGACCTGAGCAGGCTGCTGCAGGTACCTCATACTCCAGCTGTTGGCTGCACCAGCACATATCAGACTGAAGATCTGTTTATACAGAGCACATAATACTACACAGTACTGCCTGTAACCATGGCAACATTCTGCTTGAGTACCCCACACTAGTTATTTCTCACATTGTTTATGTGAATATAAAGCTTCTTGAATGAGGGTTGGGGCTATTCCCACTGCGTCCACACTCTCAGGTGACTCCCCCTCCCCAGAAAGTGAACGTCAGAGCAAATGATGTGAGCAGTGCTTCAGTCTGCAGCTCATAATATTTCAGTCAGAGAACACATCGTTATGTAAGATATCAGAAAACCAGAAGTTATCACAGATGAAGCTTCAAACAGGACAGCACAACTAAAATAAATGGAGCTCTTTCTGAGCTGATGTGAGGAAGGGCTCTCAGATTCATCAACTCAAAGTTTCACAGAGACGCTGACGCACGACAACCAGTGTCCAAACTTTTACATCCTGAAGCTCATGTAGATTTTTACATCTGAACCGCCGAGTTCAGTTTTTGAGTTTGAAGCTGAACGAACTCCATGAATAAAAACAGGCGGACGAGCTTACCTGTGCAGCAGCTGACATCTTCAGCTCACTCATCATCATCATCATCATCAGAGAGACACACAGCAGCCGGACGCTCTGCAGGACCTCCATCTCTTCTGCCCTCCAACTTATCCCCGCCAACTCTTTTCAGCTCCTGCGCCTCTGAGCCGCCTCCTCCTCCTTTATCATCCCTCATGTGTTTCCTGAAAAACCAAACTCAAAGGAAACTGCCGAGTCCGAGGTACACACTGACCCATACATGCACACACACACACACACACACACACACACACAAAATCAACACTCTGTGTGTCTGTGTTTCAGACCTTAAAAACAGAGACACACACACACACACACACACACACACACACACACACACACACACACACACAAAAAATCAACACTGTGTGTCTGTGTTTCAGACCTTAAAAACAGAGACACACACACACACACACACACACACACACACAAAATCAACACTCTGTGTGTCTGTGTTTCAGACCTTAAAAACAGAGAGACACACACACACACACACACACACATACACAGAGACACACAGATACACTCCCACATACACAAACACATATACAGAAACACACTCACACACAAACACACCGGCGCACGCACACACACACACACATACACAGTTCAGTTGGTCTCAGGTTGCCATAATCGTCACTCCTGCGTTGACCTCACACCGACGGCAGTGCCGCGGTCGACATGCTCGCTATAAAGTTTCTGCGTGTATGAATGTGTGAATGTGAACACGCAGGAATGCAGATGTTTGATTTCTGAGGAGAAGCTGAGGGCAGCAGATGATCACACACAGGAGCCTGGGTGTGACCCCTGACCCTGTGGGCCCTGGATCTGTGCCTGGCATACCCTGTTCAGTAATGTGCAGTAAGAATGGCAGGAAATCCTGGAGTGTAAATAAGAACATGTTTTCACTTTTTCCCCAAATCTTTCTGCCTCATCATCACACACTGCTGATAACACACACTCCTGTCTTTGTGAGGACCCTCTCTGACTCAGCAACATGCAACGAGACCGCGGCCTCAACCCAAACCTGAACCCTGCAACTATGCCTGAAGGTTTGAAGGCCTGAATATAAGAATAATGAATAAGTACAAAGTTTAAATAGTTTATCTGAGGTACACACGATCAGTCCTTGCTGTGCTACTCGAACAAAATGAACTCCATGTTGGATTCAGTCAGAACTGAAATTGGTCAGGAGAAAGTTCACTGAGCTCAGAGATCAGCTGAGCAGGACGATCATTTTTTTGATGTTACAGACGTTACACCCCTCATTTACACTCTGGGAATGCACAGATCCTAAAACTCAGGGCACTGTGGTGTCTGTCTGTTGCAGAGTCCAGCCTTACTGCATCCATGTGCTGATGATCAATGCACTGATTAACTGATCGTCATCGTCGGTCTGAGCTCCTCTACCAAAGGACACATTTTAGCAGTTTGAAGGTGTGGTCCATTCAGGCGTTTATGTTACAGTAAATTATTTACAGGGTTAGACTGATCAAAAAAATAAAAAACTACATTCCAAGAGCTACATCTCAGACTCTACAGGCTTCAGTTAGCAGGTTAAAGGTTAGAGTTCATGACAGCATGGTTAGAAAAAGGCAGAACAGGAATGGCTGTTCAGAGGGGCTGGAGGAGAAAGCCTCTTCTCAGTAAGAGGACATAAGAGCAGGGATCGGGTTTGTAAAGCTGCATCTGAACAAAGACTTCAGGAACAACATCCTTTGACAGATGAGACCAAATGTAGATGTTTGTCCATCACGCACAGCAAACAGCTTGGATCAAGTGTCAGCACGGTGGAGAAGGGATGATGATCTAAGTGCACCTTGAACTTCTTTTGTGGTTCTTCAGTGTGAGGCCATCTGTCCCACAGATAAAGTTGGGACCAACCTGGGTCATCAGCAGGACAAAGATCCAAGCACAGCAGCAAATTTGCAACTGAACGGCTGAAACAGAAAAGAATCGAGCTGCTGCAGAGCTCAGAGAGCTGTGCACAGTTCAGATCAGTTTGAATGTTTCTCAAATTGTTTCTACGGTCTGATGTTTCATCAGCTGTTCTTTTGTTCCTGCTGTTTAAACTGTCAAATGAAAGAAGTGATGGATGCGTTCATCACCAACTGACAGACAGGATACTTTCTCCTAACTTTATTTAAACACATCCATGTGAACAAAGCTGTGCAGGCTTAATATGTTTTATATGCTTGTTATATTTACATCTTTCTGATGTCTTTAATCATTCTTTTATTCAAAAATCAAAAAGAAGACTCTTCTTGGGTGAGGTGGAGGCAGAATAGGCAGGGCCTTCTGTGATCAGATGTAATGAAGTACTTTTACTCTACATCATCAGCTGCCTGTACAGCTATACTGCTGTACTTCCAGCTGGAATGTAGTATTTCCTGTTTCTGGATTATTCACAAGGTTTCCTTCTTTCAGGATGCCTTTTTGGGAATGTTTCTGGAATATCTTGTGAGGAGTTTTATGGTTTGTTAAAGACAAACTGAACCAAATCTCCTCTAACATTTTCTCTACCAGGCATTTTATTTTTTATTAGTCAAAGTATAATAAACCGTATTTGTGTGGAACCTTTAAACAGACTCACAGCTTTTTGTTCTGTTGTTTTCATGTTTTTGTTAATAAAGTTTGCCAACAGAAATTGAACAAGGAACTCTTCACGTCCACATTTACGGGATCATTTCACCTTCTGATGTCAGTTTGATTCTTTTTGGACAGAAATTATAAAAATATGATTCCATACCAAATAATCAACTTTTAAAAATTATTTACACATAAATATCTTTATTTTAAAATATGAACTCAGTCTGTGGGCTGCAGAACTGGTGAGACTGATCAGGAGTCCATCTGGTGTGCTTCAGTCATTTAGATCTTCAGATTGAGTGTGCAGCAGCACTGATCCTCCTCCTGGTGGCACTCTGAATGCTTCAGAAACATCACGTTGGAGAAGTCTGTCCAGTCTGAAACATTTAAACGTTCAGGCAGTAAAGTCCTGTCCTGGGTCTGCTGCTCACAGGTGAACATGAAACAGCTCACACAGGAGGCATGCAGGAGGCTGTCACGTGGCTCACCTGGATCTTTCCACATGGAGCAGCAGCTCCGCTCTGAGCTCCTCGCCACATCGACAGGTAAACTTAAGGCTTCACCTTCACTGCTCGGCCCTCAGGCAGCTGCTCACCCATTTCTTCTGTGACTCTTCTGCAGGTTTACTCTAATGGTGATGTTATCAAGAGAGAAGGTGAAGCTGTGCCATGTGCTGCTGTAAATGTACCAAGTACTGCTGACCTCAGATTGGTCCAAGGAGGATCTGTCTTCACCTGAGAGGTTCAGTCCTTCTTATGTTTACACTCTTTCAGATCCAGATGTCCAATTTGTCTCTTCCCACAAATCCTTCTTTTATTCCAGGTGTTCTTCTATTACCAGGTATCATGCTGAGGTGAATGAAGGTAAGCTACGTGTTCCACGTGTTTCTGTTTCCAGGTGTGTTACTTACAGGTGTGCATGTCGTTCATGCTCTCGCAGCGCCTGCAATGGACGTAGCAGCACCACACAAACTTGCACTCGCAGCGCTGGACGTGTCTGACCACGTGTGTGTTGTATCCTCTGCCGCAGCACAGCAGGTTACAGCTGTCCGGCCCCGTGGATGTCCGGTTGCACCGGCGCCCTCTGGTGCCCGCGATGCCCCGCCGCCTGTCCTCCAGACAGTAGTTTGGAGACTTGTTGAGGAAGATGAGCTGGTGTTTGTCCACATGGAGACGCCGCTGGTCCTTCCACTTCATCTTCCTCTTGGATCGCTCCGTCACCTGCACGCTGTGCTCGTATCTGTCCTTCAGATACGTCCCGACCCGCTGAAACGGCGCCATCGTCCTCCAGCATGTCTTCACCGCGCAGGAGCCAGAAACACCGTGACAACGACAGTCTGTGGACATCGTCCTGTTGATCGCCTGCAGGATGCAAACAGGAAGTTAATCACACCTTGGACCTTTAGACTTTCAGCTTTAGTTTGAGTCGTCGACGTTCACCTGTCGCCCGGCCTCGCTGTTGTGCTGGTTCATGGTGCTCAGCGTGTAGCTGCTGCGGCTCGTCGACATGTTCTTCAAGGTGTGGTCCATGAACTTGCGGCTGAACCACGTCCCGTACTGGATGTGATCTGAGCAGCCGCCCCAGTGCCAGCCCTCTGCTGCTGAGCCGCCGCCCCGCAGCCGAGCATCGCAGCCGCACTCCGTCATGTTGCCCTGGCTGCAGGAGCGCGTGACGGCATGGACGAGCCCTGCTGCCATCACCGCATAGATGAACGCTGTCTCTTTGGTTCCTGCAGTGACAGAATGGGCAGACATGACACTTATTTCAGGAGGTTTCATGAGGTATACTTTCATCGTCTCAGATGCTTCTTTGCTCATTGGTTAACAATCTTCACCTGATTCAGAGTACCCCTCAGAAATGAAGGCAGAACCACTCTGTACTGGTCACACTCCAGCTGCTTTTATCTTTCAGTCCAAAACTAAAAGCAGTCAGTGTTAGCAGTGTTAGCAGTCAGTTAAAATTCACTGGCTATCTAATAATTTAATATATAATTAATAGATTTTATATTTAAAAGTGTATTAAAATAAAATATTTAAAGTCTGTGTAAATGTTTTAATATTTATGCTTATTTTAATTTCATATCATCACTTCACATACATTTTCATCATCAGAAGAAAATGGATGGATATATGGATGGAGGGTTTTTCAGACTGAGGTGCAGTCTCTGTGAGTTTCACAGTCTGTAGTCTCTGTAAAGTCTCATATTCAGACGCGCTGTCTGAAGTATTCTGATCACATTGAGGAAGTGAAGAAATCATTTATCGCTAAGACTGGTATTGGTGCTAAAGGGAGCGCTGCCCTCTACAGGCAGAGACAGGAACTGCAGAAAAAGATTTAAACGATTTCTGAAACCTGAATTTTCTGCTTTGAAGTCTGAAAATTTAACTGAAGGAGAAAATTTCTCTCTTTGATGAATTTAATTTACAAGTCATTGAATGAAATGAGGTCATGTGACTACATTATGGGTTTATGTGCACTCTGACCATCACAGATACACATAAGTTTGTTAACCAGTGTTTTTCCTCAGACTGTAAAA